ACGCTCGGGTCTCCACAGCCCACCCGGGATCAGCGCTGCAGGTTCAAGAGGAACCTGCGTGTTTTCCCCCCCGCTTTTTCTAGCGCCGGCTCCCCAGGGGCGCGCCCAGTGCCCGTCACGCTCCTGGAACGTCAGCGTGAGCCCAAAGGCCGGCTCCCAGGGGGGACCCGAAACGCTCCGAACGTTGCTTTGCAAGTGTAAAAAACCGTAAACGTCAACGTTTTCGCTTTGGCAAAACAAGACGTCCGAAAAAAAACCACCCCAAACAACCCAGAGCCGGTGCCCGCAGCTCCCGTACCCTCGATCCCGCTGAACGCGGGCGCCTGGCACACCTCCTGCTTCTCCTTCTTCGGCTTCATGGGGCACCAGGAGCCGTCCTCCGCGAACTGTATCTCGTCGCAGTCGGTGCAGGAGTTCAGGATTTCCATGAACAGCCTGCCGGGCGAGAGGAGAAGCTGGGGAGAGCCAACGCTACGGGGACTCGCGCGCAAATACGGGCGGCAGAAACGGCGCGGGACCGAGGGGGCTCAGCAGACGGGGGGCTCAGGGGTTCCAAAAAGCTGCGCCGGTATCACCTGCGGGTTTAGATTTGTGACGGGCTTGTTCGAGGTACGTCGGAGGGCTCCGTTCAAACCCCGGTGAGCAGGTTCCCTCCTTAACCGCCTCGGCAGAGACTGCCGGCAAGGAAGCCAGGATTTTGACACAGGCTTCTCGTTCTTTGGGAGAAATCCCTCCAGATCGGCACCAAAGCGGTTCCGGGAACGGAAATCAGGTAAGCCATCCGAGGCTGTAACTCGTCCGCGAACGCCAGCGTTAGAGGATAAGCCTTAAAAAGAAAAACATCATCCCGGCTGAAGACCGTGTGGGAAGCCCGCTCAGCTCACCCGTCGATTATCAGGTTGTCGTACGGGGCTTTCTTATCGCACACGGGACAGGTCCACGTGGGTTTCTTCTCGTTCATTTGCAGGTAGAGCGCCGCGTCGAAGCACTGGAGGTGGGTGCAGGTGATGGCTCGGCAGGGCACGACCAGCCTCATCTTACCCAGCTAGGGGACGAGAGGGAAGGAGGGAAGTGGGTTTCGCACCGACCGCCCCTCTCCGCGCCAGGTAAAGCCGGGGGCGTCGTTCCCCGCCTGTTCCCTCTTCTCCCCTGCCCAGCGCTCTGGCACGTTTAACGAGTCGTTAAACGCACCGCCGACGAAGAATTAACGCGCGCGAGAGAACAAGCTTTCCTGGGGGGAACTTTTCGCCTTTAGTTTTTCCTTTTTTAAGCTGGCTTCCACCTCAAACACATGCCGCTAGCGAAGGTGAGAGACAAGGATCGGGTCAAGAGAAGACGGTTTTCGGCTGGGCAGTTTAGGGCCAACGACCTCAGCAATTTATTTGTTTGTTTATTTTTCTACGCGTGAAAGAAAGCGGTTCTGCTTTTACTTCGGAACGAAAGCCGGCTTTTCAAGAAAAGCGGGGGCTGCAGCGGCGTTAGCCCTCGTCTCACTCCGAAGCGTTCCCTACGCGACGGCAAGGCAAAGCGGGAAGCTGTTCGCAAAGGCCTGTCCAAGAAAGAGGAACAAAAACGTAGAAACCTACTGGACACATCAGGGAAACTCGTAAGCTGGTTGTAGCTATCTCACTGTCGGGATCAGCTGTTAGTTTTTCTTTGACTGAAAGAAGAGGAGGGGAAAAAAGGTCTCCTGTCAACATCCTCCTTCTTTTACGCGCGTAAATACGTACAGACATGATTTATCATTTGCACCATGACGCTTAATATCCAGATTACAGGCAGGTA